GAAAGCCAAGTTCCTTTCGCTGCGCTTGCCTTGCTTGCTTGCTTGCTTGCTTGCTTGCTTGCTTGCTTGCTTGCTACGACCTTCAAGAAATACACGTCCTACTTTCCCAATTTCTTCTTCACCAGTCTCCGGCTAGGCCGGTCAGCCGGGTTCTGTGACGTGTGAATGTAACCCCAGAGGGGGTGAAGGTCTCCTGCAAGCATCAAGGCATTCAATCTCATAATGACAGGTCTCAACTTCTTGCTCGAGCTCCTGCCTCTCGTCAGTGCGTGCATGCACACCATACTGTCGGTCAGATGGAAAAGCGGACTCCCCAGCGTTTGGATCTTGACAACTTCCACTTGATGCCGGTAAGAATAGCTCTGAGCTCCAGGAGATTGATGTGTTCTCCCGGGTGCTTCCATCTCCAACCAGAAATATCTCGCCACCGCCAAAGTCTCCCAGGGACACTAGCACGGAGGCGGAAATGCTTGGGAGCAGGATCTGTTCCCGTGTGCCCCATCAGATCCTCCCCCTTCATCGAGGAGAACCCAAAGCACTTGCGGATCAACTGGACCGAGACCTCAGGGTCACCCTTACCCAGGCGTCCCTCGAAGGAGCATGGAACAGAAGTCACGACCCCGTACTGGTGTAGTTGCATCAATCATGTCTTGAACCTCCGAAATTCCTCCCAAGCCAAGCGAGCGCGACAATTGCCCAATGAGCCAGCTCACTATACTCCCACATGCCAGCTGTTCCCAATCATACTCATGCGAATGTCCTCGTAGTGTTCTCCCTTCTGCTCTGCCTTGGGGGCACACTGGCGTGTGTAGTCAACAGGGAAACCCATCAACGCCTCTCTCTCGCCACATTCCCTGTCGCTTCCAGAGTACGTGGTCATCTTTGTATTGATAAGGAGGAAAACGATAACGATCTTCCTCCCAGCGAGAGACTTCATGAGCTTGACAGTGATGTAATCCTGCTGGCCGCCTCCCTGGACTTGACCTGGGTCGAGATGTAGTCAGGGTAGGTAGGTGGCATCCAGACTGAAGGCCTTTCCAATGTCGCCTGACAGATGTATAGGTTGGCATGCATGCCATCCATCGCCAGATCGCTCCTCAATTTGCGCTCCTTCTGCGTCCGTGAGCTCCCAAGTGACCCAGTACAGCCGAGGCCGCATCAATACGCACAGGGGTTCTCCCAAACTCCCGACTCATAATCTCTCTATCCTCCAGGCTCATCGCAGCCACGTTCTCTACAGGAGTTCTCCCAAACTCCCGACTCATAATCTCTCTATCCTCCAGGCTCATCGAGGCCACGTTCTCTATCAGTTCATGCACCTGAGCCCAAAGGAAAGCCTCTCGAAAAAGCTGTGTAATCCGAGGGACTTCATGGAACAATGAGCTTCATCGCGTATAGTGCTCCCTTTCGGTCGGCATTGAAGCCACTCACCCCCTGGCAAGATGGTCCAGCCCCAACCAGTACGAGCCCCACGTTGCTGTAGCGAAGTGCCAGGGCCTGAACCTGCTCCAACCCAAATTCACAAACGTTTTCATGAAACTCAGTCTCAGGAAAGAAACTCTCGACAACCCTGCGGCACATTGCGATCCATCTCAACGCTGACGTGCCCACCAAGTTACTGGCCACCCGCAGGGCTGCAATGCCATCAAACAGCCCCACGCTGAGAGGTCATGCTCTTCAGGAAGGTCACCCCGCGCAGGACAATTTGCCGCATTCATTTCATGGGGTTAGGCCGTCCGACGCGCAAAGACCTCCACCTGTGGTTGAAGCATTCGAAGCTGTCACCTCACCGTCTCACCGTCCACCAGAACTCGAAAATCAATCTGTGCCAGCGGACTCAGAAGGATGAACCTAGCAATCTCCAATTTGACCTGATAGGGCAGAGGCAATCTGACCACTGGCGGCTCGTTGTCAAACCTCTTCATATGCTCAAACACTTCGTTCAGACTGCAGAGAAGAGGGCGCCTGAACATGGCCACATAAACAAAGCCACCGCAGACCACCTGGAGCTCCCTGAGGGTTGACTGGCCCCTCACCAGGAGCTCTAACCCCAACTTGCAATATTGAACGAGTTTCTGGGGCTTCGGCATTGCAAAGCCAAGCTCACCATCAATAAGTGCTCCTTGCATCTCACCTCTTATGACTCGCTCAGCCACCTTCTTCGGATGACGAGGCAGCCCATACTCCATGTAGCATCGCCTGAGTTGCTCAACTTGGGGCGTGACAGTGCCTTTGATCTCCCCAGCCAATTCAGAGGATACTCTCTCCAAAGCGTCAAAGGTGTCCAGACTAGAAGAGGTGGACATAGTAGGTCGGTCTTTCCTTACCTCCCCTTCAGCGCCTACGTGGTCGTCACCTGACATAGCACTCCGCACTACGTTTCTGTGGATGTGTTGGGCACTTGACCCTTCGTAGAAGAGCACCAAGAAAAGCCGCTCGATGGCCTGGCAGCACGGACACCGACAGTTGTCCACAAAGTGGACGGGCCGCCAGCCTCCCACTGGCCAGGAGGCCATTCACCTCCCTTAAGCCACAACACTGCGGTTAAAAGTCATGGGTCTTTCGTTTTTAGATACGATACGAAACCCATATATTATAGCAATGGCAATATCTATAGCCTCAGTTTTGTTAGTTTTTGTGAAGGTGGTATTGGCAGAGCAATTAAAGACATAAAGCATATTGAAGCAAGCCCAGTGTTTGCTGAAGGCAACCCCACGTGCATGTAAGGATGGAATCCCAGTCCGAACGTGTCAAGCCGCACGCCGCTGCAGTGCGGAGGTTGAGACTACTCTTCAGAAAAACGAGGGGAATATCATACCAAGCTATATCAAGCTGATCAACTAGGCAGTCTTTTTCATTACGTAAATCTTGATTTTGATATGTGGATTCACCCCTTCAACTTAAACGAGTCGGCACTGTCCTTTACATGTCTTTCCTTTTCTGCACCAAATGTCCCTTAACACAATTCGCTTCTCCTGAATTAGCTTTACCTTTTGTCTTGTTATTTAACTATACCAACTAGAATACCATCGCTTTTCATTGGCTATTCTTCACCAACGTTCAGTAGCACAAACCAGTGTGATATAAACCACGTGTATCAGCAGACAAATGAATCAAAGGAAGAATTGAACTAACTGGACAAGGGGATCCTACAACAGGCACTTGGGAGTCCAATTTGTCTGAAGAACACCATGTGGGACGTATACATGAAACAGCATACGGAAGTTAATTGTTTAAAACGTTTCTACATGATGGACTAGGAACTGCACATCTCATTGCTCTTATTCATTTACAAGTGATGTTTAGATCTGGCTGCCAAAAGTCAAGCCACAAACAAAAAATTAGTTGAACTTAGTTGACGTGGATACCGTTAAATCACTTCTCTTTCAAAACACACGAATTAAGCAAAGAAAGGGGTGAATCATGTTTCACTACGCCATCTGGGAACTACGGAGGTGTCTTCCATGAAGGATAGTTTCAGTTTGCAAAGAGGAAGACCTTTTGCAAAGCAGAAGCTGTTATCAAAAATACACTGGATACAGGGCATTTGCCAATGAGAACGGAATTGTAGTGGAGGCTCATACTGTCACAGAGGGTGAAGCCCCCCAAAAAGCAAGAATAATGCGTCAATTAAAATATACCCAAAAAGCTACTATATTATATATGTCTTTGCAAACATTATATAAGTATATGTATATATATATATATTTAAGGATGACATATGGAGAACGGATTGAACATTTGTAGTCGCAAGTCCCTGGCAACAATAGAAATAGTGATGAGAAATGGGGACGTTTTGTAGAGGGATAATGACGAACTAACTTTGAACAAATGCTGGCAGAGTGCCAGTTTGTGTAAATTGTCGTTGGAAGAAATTACATTGGAAAGAACTTGACAACTTTAGGGAAGCTCAAGCTCTGACCAAGATTGTTGTAAACAGTTTGTGGATATATTTGTTCTATTGGTTGCGCGCTTTTTGGGAATGCTTAGCACATACAAGCTGTTTAGACCAAAGATCGCATGCGTTGCAGCCGACTCGGACGGAGAAGGCTAAGCCACCAACTGGCTGTCAAGCCAGACTCGACCTGAATCAGTTTTTATGTTTGTTTGCTTGTTCTGTGAGCATGTGCATCCAAGTCAAGCTCAGACGGGACCAGCTTGCGTTTGAGTGTACTTTCTCAGTTTTCGAGCAATATCTCAATCAAAGCCTGATGGAGAGCAGTGGCTGCGTCCTGTTAGCCGAGGAATCTATGGAGAGCTCCCTTGCGCACGCATGAGGCGAGCAAGTCTCACCGCCGTCTTACCCGTCTGACGATGGAGCTGGAGCTCCTTTACCCAAGTGGACCCTTCACTTGCTCTCAGTCCAATTGCCAGCAGGCATCTCCTCTGCAACATTCATAGTGAGGCTCCACCATGGGCACATTGCCAAAACATGCCAAAACATCGAAATTGGCGTATCACAAGCTTCTTCAAGAAGCAAAAGACCAACCGAGAGCTGTGTGAGTTTTTGAGTTGGATCCAGTCTGGAGTCAAGTTCAGTAAAGTGGACGACTTAAAACTGTACGGTACATGTTGTAGATTCGATCTCTCTAGATGGAGTATGACTATGTCCCTCTTCAGGTCAGGTCGACTCGGATCAACTATCCTGGGAGTAGCGTTCGGGGAATTTAAAAAAACACAGAAACGAGTGTCAAAAACCATGAGCATACATGACACATACGAAGGACCGGGACCTTTTCTGGGTCAGGAAAACAGGAGCCGGAATTTTGCGGCCCCGGGTGGGGCAACAGCCGCTATCGTCACCCCAAAAAGAACCTGACACCACCTGAAGCCAGGTACCTCTTTGGGGGGGGCCATGTGTATATATATATGTATATATATATATTATAGATAGATACTGAAATATTGCACTAACTCATGAGAATCCATACTCAATATGTTGCAAGTCCGATTTTGCAACTCGTGGTCATACCTCCTAACTCGTAATGCGATCCAGTGGCTGAAGACTCCAGGCCACCGTCCTTGAGACTCCATTATCCACCAGTTTCAGCAAAAACAAATCATTATATCCCTGGCTGGTCGCGAACAAACTCCCAGCGGTATAGCCTGGCGTGGCGTTTTGTGGCGCGGTTGGCTCAAGTCTTGCGTTCCGAACAGCGCATGTTTCGAAGACCAGGAACTGCATTTTGGACGGGTTTGGGGGGCCTTAAACTGTGGCAACAAAGAAGTGGAAATATATAGATACACAAATGTCCCCGATGCCACGTTGGTGGGGACCTTGGTCCGGTGAAATTTATGCAAGCATGACAATCATTAATGATAGGATGTGGCTCTCGAAAAACCAGTCACAAAAGGTCACAAAAAAACAATAAACACTGGAACCCGTAACAAACATATCAAGCTTACTTCAAAGCAGGAAAATTACTTCTTTGTATTCGATCCTAGACGGTCGGTTTTCTGACAAACATATATATATATATATATAGTTGTAAGAATGTTTGGTTGAATGAATCAGGAACCCCTGGGTCAGGAAAAAACACAAGCTAGACTGGCATCAACAAATGTCTGGACCCAAAAAGAACAGTGCAACGTGACTGCAACGTTTGAGTGTATACGCTTTATAACAACAGTACTATATAATCCCGTGTACCTATTACAAAACGTACCCCTATTTTAAAGAAGTCATGCCGGAAACCCCTAAAGACGGTTTATATATGTTAAATGTCTGCCCTTTAAGGCCATTACTAAACTACCCACATGGCCGATTTTGGTGGCATGTATTTTTTTGGTTCCAACAACCCTAACTGCCCACCTCTGTCCACCCTGTCTATCCACCATGACACGCCGCGTTTAGACCAGCAGGCTTCCTTTCCCCAATGGCACGGACTCACCTTTCGAAAGCTTTAGTTGTTAGTCTAATGAAGAATCGCTATTTAATAAATGTTCCCTAGGGCACCTGCGACTTGGGCGTCTTCAAGGTCGCCTCCATATCAGGTCGACCTGTTGGTCGTCGGGCGGTAGACTGGTTCCGTGTGGGTCTCGGGACCCCTGGGCGCACCGGACCACGGACCGCGCTTCCACGATCAACCCGCCCCGCTCCCCGCTCCCGACCGATCCTCCAACGAAGATGTTCCCGGTCGTATCCAGCTGGATGGAATGGCCCCGGTCATCTTGGGCCGTCCCGGTTTGCCAGGTCCAAAGCCGATCACCGTATGGGTCCAGCTTCATCACGAAGATATCCTAAAATCGGAGTTTCGGAGTGTCCTCTGAAGCTGAGAGATGGATTGGGGTGGAGTGATTGGATTGTTATGAGGAATATGGATGAATAAGGTGCATTTGCTTCATTCATTCAGCCGTCTCATTCAGATCCTGTCTTCACTCACGAAGGGTTCAGACTTGGAGGCAAGCTTGCGTTCCGAGAGCTTGTCAGGTCGTCGGGCGAGAACAAAGCGTTCTTCAGACACTATCTAGGTGTTCTTCGGTAGGTAGACGTTTTCCTTCCGAAACTATTCTTTGGATACTAATCTTCAGAAACTAGACCGTTTTCTGCGGGAACTGACCTTTGCAAACATGTACCTATAGCCGTCGCAGGGTATGCCAATAAGCCCACTACCCAAACCCCCACCCACCCCTCGCGCTCCATTCATACTTTCTGAAGCATGTAACATAGTTTCTGAAAAACGTGAAATAGTTTCTCAAGAATGTGAGATAGTCTCGGAAGAACGCAAAATAGCTTCTGAAGAATGGGGAATAGTTTCTGAAAATCACGAATTGTTCAGAGTAGTCCCGAGTACCTATTACCAAGCCTCCCCATTTAAAACCACCCTGTCCGAAGCCCCAAATTCGGTGTATATTTGTGTTTAAATTGCCGCCCTTTGCAGCCGCCACTAAATTAAACTACCAACATGGTCAATTTTGCTGTTAATTTCTTTTTTAGGTTCCAAAAACAACCGTAACTGCCCACATCTGTCCGCCCTGTGTATCCACCATGACACGCCGCGTTTACACCAGAAGGTTCTCCTTCCTCCGGCACGGACTCACGCAACGCACTTGCCACCGAGGTCGTGCAAAACCGCATGGCAGGGCATGTGTTCTCTTGGGTTCTATTTCCACCTTGTCACGCATGGGCTTTTTTTAACCCTGTGCAGGCTTCTTCTTCCACCCTGTACAGGGTTCTTTTTCCACCCTGCACAGGGTTCTCTTTCCCCCCTGCGCACGGTTCTTTTTCCACCCTGCACTGGGTTCTCTTTCCACCCTGCGCAGGGTTCTTTTTCCACCCTGTGCAGGGTTCACTTTCCACCCTGCGCAGGGTTCTTTTTCCACCCTGTGCAGTGTTCTTTTCCACCCTTGCAGGATTCTTTTTCCACCCTGTGCAGTGTTCTTTTCCACCCTGCGCAGTGTTCTTTTGCCACCCTGTGCAGGATTCTTTTTCTATTTTTCAACCTTGTCACACACGGGCTTTGTCTAACCCTGTGCAGTGTTCTTTTTCCACCCTGCGCGGGCTTCATTTCCACTCTCGGGAGCCGCGATGGGGCACCACTCGCCAGAATCCATCGTGCACGGTTCTTTATCCACACTGTGCAGGATTTCTTTTTCGCCTTGTGTGCGTTTTTTCCCGTGTGCTTTTTCCACCCTGTGCACTGTTCTTTTGCCACCCTGTGCAGGAAAATTTTTGCATTTTTCCACCTTGTCACACATGGGCTTTGTTTAACCCTGCGCACGGTTCTTTTTCCACCCTGTGCAGGGTTCTTTTCCCACCCTGTGCAGGAATATTTTCCATGTTTGCACCTTGTCACACATGGTCTTTTTAAACCCTGCGCAGGGTTCTTTTTCCACCCTGTGCAGAATTCTTTTTCTACTTTGCCCATCCTGTGCAGGGTTCCTTTCTTTGTCCACCCAGGATTCTCTTTCCATCTTTCCACCTTGTCACACATGGGCTTCGTTTAACCCTGTGCGCAAGATTATTTTCCATTTTTCCACCTTGTCACACATGGTCTTTTTTAACCCTGCGCAGGGTTCTTTTTCCACCCTGTGCAGGATTCTTTCCTACTTTGTCCATCCTGTGCAGGGTTCCTTTCTTTTTCCACCCAGGATTCTTTTTCCATCTTTCCACCTTGTCACACATGGGCTTTGTTTAACCCTGTGCAGGATTCTTTTTCCATGTTTCCACCTTGTCACAGTCACACAGGATTGTTTTTTGACCCTGCGCAGGGTTCTCTTTCCACCCTGTGCAGGATTCTTGTTCTACTTTGTCCATCCTGTGCAGGGTTCCTTTTTCACCCTGCGGGGTGCGCTTTTTCACTTAGAATCCATTGCGCAGAATTCTTTGTCCACCCTGTGCAGGGTTGCACTTTTGACCTGTTTTAGGGTTCTTCGTTGACTCGTTGTAGGACTCTTTCTTGACTGGTTGTAAAGTCTTTTTTGCACCGTTTGGTGTTCTTTTTGGGTTCTTGTTTGACATGTTTTGAAGTTCTGTTGGTCCTTCTTCGACCCGTCTAAGAAAATCGTTCCCTTAACCGCTTCGCTCTCTTTTTCCAGCGCTCTGACTGAGGGTCCGTCCGACATTTGCGGCGACAGCTAGACACCGGACTTTAAAGTCAAGACATAGAGTGGATGGATAGACTTCTGTGAAAATATCGTCTTTCAAGCGAGACAATTTTCGGTCGACAGCGACGTTCAGCTAGCAGTCGCATGCGGAGTATACACAGTTTTGGGACGAGTACACAGAATTAGCTGTGAAAAGACTGCAACCCCACAAAGATACGACCCTGACTATTCACGCAATAAAGATCGCGCATGTTCCTCAACGGTGTGCTTTTGGACCAAAGACTACTTTACACTTATATCCTGCATGCTCCCAACCGCGAATAGGCCTGACTGACAGATCTGCGCGTGATAAAAACAGGTAGCTTCCATTGCAATTTCATTGCACGTGGTAAAGATCGTGCATGTTCCTTAACGGGGTGATTTTGGGCCGAAGACTGCGGGTGGGGCTGTGAACGTTGTGATTTTGTAAGCTTGTTCTCTTCTTGCAGATGATAAGACATTGATAGGGTTGTGAAAGTTGTTCTTGTATAAGGTGTTGCTCTTTTTGGTGATGATATCACATGGATAGGATTCTGACATTTATGTGTTTTTTGCTCTTTGTGCAGTTGGTAAGCATATTTGTTCATTCAACTATGTACTACAAAAATGTCTAGTTCCAAAAGGTTAGATGTTTACGAAAAAGTTTTGGATGTAGTAATCTAATTCCACGCAGCCCCCATGCAAAACCATATTTCTGGCTTTGAGAGTGTGAATTGTATTGCTCTTATTGAATGCAGTTGGGTAAGTACACCATAATCAGAAGCAAATAATTACAAACCCTAAATAACAAAATTCTAATTGCATTCAAATTTAGATTAATTTCAGATTTAATAACTCTATTTCAATGATGGCTTCATTTCACTTTGATTCAATGTTCCTTCACTATAGATTCTAATATATTTGGTGTTCAATACAATTCAAATTCAATTACAATATTTCATTCTTTTTCAGTTAAATTTTAGATTTTCTGAAAATCTCATTATTCAATTCCAGTATTATATTCTTTTTTCAGTCTTAATTCTAGATTTTGTTAAATTCTCATTTCCTTCTGGGGAATTGGTATTGCTTTGAGCATGAAAGTTTTTACTGAAGTTTTTCCAACATGGAAACATGTGCCTTCTTAAATTAAACAAATTCACACCACCAATTTAAATATTGTTAATAGGCGAAATATTTGAAATACTTAAAACAATTAAATTCAGTTTTAGTTCAACTTTAAAAAAGAATTGCATGCTTTTTAAGAAGTGACATATTTATAATATTGTAAAACAATGGAGTTCAAAAGGGTTGCCAATTCCAGGAGTTAATTTAGTATTGAAAGAAAATACAACATGGAATTAGACTATATTCAATAAAATATTCCATATTTTAAATATTCAGCTAAATAAAAAACCTGAAAACATTTAAAATATTGAATTAAATCAAATTTGAACTGAATGTTGCAAAAGGATATAGTTTTTGCCTATTTAAAAATATTTCTGTTTCGATAACTTACGTATTAAATAAAATTGAAATATATAAATGTTTTAGATGCTTTAAATATTACATTGATTACTAGAAATGGCAACCCCTTTGAATTCAATATTTAATATGTATTGAATTTTGAAAGGTGATAGTGATAGTTGGTGACCAATTTTATTTCCTATGACTGCTTGTTTTTGTTGTCTACATGTGATGTTACATCTGGAAATCATCTTGTTCTAAAACCTGGACATAGGATACAGAGATCAAATCAAATTGACAAGGCGTGTTCGTCCATGTGAGAAATTTTCTTTCAAAAAAAGTGCGTAGATACCAAAGCAGTGCTCATCTAGCGAATCATGAAAAAGTGCACGCTCACAGTGGCCAGCTCTCTACAGAAACCTCTCCACGACAAGAAAGAAACCGCTGCAGGGCAGGCAGCAAAGAGGTCTTTCCAGGGCAAGAAAGAAACCTCTGCAAGGCAAAAAAAATTCTCAGGGCAGGAAGGAAACCCCTGCAGGGCACGAGAGAACCCCCTGCATGCCACAAGAGAAACCCTTGCAGGGCAGGATGCACGAAGGAGTATGCGGGCTGAAAAACAATCCTCTGGGTCCTGGGTAGCCTACTCGTCGGAAACCACCACGTCCTCACAGGGTTGGAAAAAACCACAAGGCAAAATTAAAATCCAGCCCCGCATGGCACAGCGACATCACCTTTGTTAGTCTAATGAAGAAGAAGTATAAAGGCTATTTTTGTAGGGGAAAAGGAAGACCCTTTGATCTGGAGGATTTTTGAACTTTTGATACGAGTTTAATAATATTTTGGTATACTTCTTTCTGGATGACTTTTTGGTTTTGAAGCTCTTCCCAGGTTACCCGATTTTGGACCCCCCCGAGTTCAGGGACCCCCTATTAGAAAAATTTTCTCTTATTAGGGGGAGGCTCGTGTTTTCTAATAGGTGGACAGGATTGTTGCGGAAGATTGCGGAAGAGTACCAAAACAGTTGCGGAAGAAACGTTTCAGAAGAATGGAGATCTTGCGGAATAGGACGTTGTTCGTGAGGAAAAAAACATCATACGGAGGAGACGTGGAGTCTTTCAAGAGTTTGACCCGCTCCGCATAGACATGGAACACACACCTGTTGAAAAAATACAGGATCGACTGATCGACTTGTGCCATCATGGAGAAAACGGGCTCACCATGCCAAACATTCTCATGACACCAGTGACTCGAGTAACCGAGTTGACTCGAGCTCGTCGGTGAACATGACCCGAGGATCAACCAAAAAGATCGCGAATCAGCTTGCAGCAACGGGGTGCAACAAAATTGGGGGGAATGGGGGTCGGTGCCGTGTGGGAAATGCGTGGTGAAACCATTTTGCTCGTCGTGACACTGTCTGATGGAAGAATGAGATTTCATGAACCTGCAGTCTTGGCCTTGGAGGAGCGCCACGAAAAAGAAATAAATGAGTTCGTCGGCACAGGGGGCCGCTAATTCTGTGGTCCCAGTTGACCCAGTTGAACAGGGTGTCCCAGTTGACCTAGTTGACCCGGTTGACCCAATTGACCTGAACTGGGTCAACTGGGTCCGGAGATTTAGCGTGGCCGCCTGGTCAAGTCGACCACTGCGGCCACTACCACTGCTACTACTACGCGTCAACTGGGTCAACTGGGTCAATTGGGGTCAACTGGGTCCGCAGATTTAGCGTGCCCGCCTTGTCAGTTCGACCACCACGACTAATAGTGCTAGGGGTCAAGGGGTCAACCGGGTCAACTGGGGTCAACTGGGTCCACTGCTACTACTAGGTTGTGATAGAGGCATTGTCTGAACTGGATCAAGAAAGATCACCAATCAACCTCAACATGGGATTCTTGGTGTGGAGGGTTTCTATATGTTAGATTGTGTTTTCATAACTCATTATTGTTGTTTATGCGTTTGTTTTCTACGTTCTGATGCAGGCAGTGTCTCAACTGGCTCAGGAAAAGTCTTCAACCAACCTCAACACGGGACACCTGGCGTTGAGCTTGGTTTCCCATGGTTAGACTATGTATTTCTATGTGTCAATGTGGTGTATGCGGCCATGGTCGACTCGATGGAAGGAGTCCTAACCAAGCTCAACACGAGATGTCTGGTGTTGATATTGGTTTCTAGCTTTCTTTTTAGAAGTTTTACATAGCCAAGTCGCTTGCTCACAGGTCGTCGATAGATCTAGAGTCTAGAGCTATCTCTTGACTCGCAGGAAGAAACGGTCCCCAGCTGGATCAACCGAGGTTGTGATGAAGACCATTGTTGAACTTGAACAACTAGCAAGGTTCCGAATCAAGCTCTACACGGAATGTCTGATGTTGATGTTGGTTTCCAATGATTAGATCATGTCTTTATAGCTCCATGTTGCCACAGATGAGGATGGTTGGTGCTGATCTAAAATACAGGTCACTTACTCAGGTTCCAGAATCCTATGGATGAGTTGACTTAGTTGTCTGTGGTTTAGTGGATAGCCTGACGATCGAAAACGCAGCACCTGATCCCTGGTTTGGACCTGGAAAAGATCCACAAGTCGACCATGCGATCCTCACAGAAGCCGAACTCTGATCTGGAAAAGACCCTCACAGAAGAAAAACACTTCCAAATCTGCAGCAGGTCGCACGAAAGTGGATAATTGGTGATTGAACCTTCCCCTGTCTGAAAGGTCCAGATCATCGTTACAACTTGAAATTTAGCTCCACGCATGCCATTCGTTGGCCATTCTTTTGACGGCCGTCTGTCCATGCAGTGGCTACGCCTGTTTCACGTGGGGTGCCCAATGGAAATACAAAACCGATGAACTTGATAAAAAAAAGTTTTGTCCAAGCTCAACACGGGAACCCTGGTGTTGAGCTTAATTTTTACTGCTCAGACTGCCTTATTTTACACCTAGCACTAGCAGGGATTCATCTTTGATCGAGCATGCTCAGTATAGTAGTCGTTGCCAGACCTTGAACCCAGTGGACCCAAGTTGACCAATAAGCAGTAGTGGTAGTGGTGATAGTAGTGGTGGTGGACCCAGTTGACCCAGTTGAACTGAGGGTTAGTTGACCGGGTTGACCCGGGCCGCGCTATATCTCCGGACCCAGTTGACGCCAGTTGACCCAGTTGACCCTAGTTGACACAGTTCACCCCAGTTGACCCCAGTTGACCCAGTTGACCCAGTAGTAGAAGTAGTAGTAGTGGTGGTAGTAGTAGTAGTAGTAGTCGTGGTGGTGGCGGTGGACCCAGTTGACCCGGTGGCCACGCTAAATCTCCGGAGCCAGTTGACCCGGTTGACCCAGTTGACCTCAACTGGGTCAACTGGGTCCGAAGATTTAGCGTGGCCCCCTGTGCGGTCGCAATGAAATAAATGCTAGTAGATCGGACTTTGCTTCTTCTGATATGCAATCAACCCCGCTGGACACTGTTTCAGTCTCCCCATGTCTGATCTAAGAAAAGCCTGTCGACAGATGATTTGGCTAAAAACGCATCCAAGCGGCATTCGAGCCTGCATTCTGACCGTTCAGACTGCCTCCGGTGTAGCCCACCAGAAAGATGTTGTCACTTTGGTCCACAACAAGCTCAGGAGCCCGCTCAAGAGCGCCTCAGAAAAAGCCACCGGCAGCCCGAAATAGACCGAAATAGATTGGTGACCAGAAGGCCGATCGATGGTCGACAAAATACATGAGATAAACTTCGTGAGCATTTGATATGCACGAAAGGTTTGGACACGTGGCGACTTAATACTGATCAACAGCTGAATACCAGTGATAGATGGTCAAAGTGCGCAAAAAATACCTGAAGGGTGTGCATGCCTAGACCTTCCTGAAAGTGGGCTGGAGGTACACGTACGTAGTGTCGGGTTGTACGTTCGCGCTTGGTGACCTCAAGGTCCGGAGGTGGTGTATGATCTCAGGATCCTGCCTACCCAGTGGTTGGGGTGGGTGGTTTTGGGGCGGTGAGATGAACTGTGAATTGAAACCCATCTCACAAGGTGCCACGGATGGTCCTTGTTCTAAGCTTTCGGTCTAGGAGGCAGAGATGGACGACATGACCAAAACAGTTCAATGCCAAGATCAACTAAGCAACGTTTGGATTCGTGAATTTGCAAGATGCGACGCATATCGGCATGCTATATGACGATATGCTTCAATGCCAGTTGTTTGGAGTGTTTGGAGCGTCCTTCAGTCCTCCAGGATTGGTGGCAAACCCCTTCAGGAAAAATTGCAGTATGGGGACGGGATATGTAAGTCAGCCATAGTCAGCCAACACTAATAAATGCGCATTGCCGACCCAGATTTGTTCATGGTGACCTGTGAAGCAAACCTCAAATGATTCTGCACAAAAAAATCTACCTCGCCCTCCTTTCCAAAGCAGAGTTGTTCATTTCAGTGAACTTCAACAACAATTATTAATGGATGTTGACCAAATTGCGATGAACAGTGACCTTCTCGAAGTAGACCATTGTGTTCCATGCCAAAAACCATGGGCACACACGCCAATGACACCAGACCATCAACAGGTGACTCACTCAATCACTGGTGACTCACATCAAGCGCCGTGAAACTGGACTAAGATGAACAAGCCGACCATCGGATGTCTCATTGCTTTCAACCATTCCAATCAGTTGGATCAGAATACCATTCACTTGTGACCCGATCCCTCTTGGATCTTCAGTTGGGGTGATGCAGTATTAAAGTTCTTTCAACACGGTTGGTTCTTTCCAAATAACTGGGAGAGTGGAAACGCCGAAACACAGGTCACCACGTTGCTTCACCGGACTCTCAGCCTCTTCAGACAAGGTCCTTTGCAACCCTCAAGCCAGGTGGACACCGATCTTCAACGATCCGACCGGTTTCCACGGACCGGTTTCCGCGGTGGCGCCAATAGAAACTCCCTTCATCTCCGACCTCTGGTAGTAGCTTCTTACTGGTAGTAATGGCCTCCAACCTAATAGCGATGGCCTCCAACCTATTAGCTTCTTAGTTACTAAGTAGCTTCTTGTTACTTTAAACTCCATTCATCTCCGACCTCTGCCGGAATTGGCCACCTCGCCATCTGCGCGCCCCCCGGGCCCTTCCTCACGGCCATCTTCCGTCCGAGTCGCTGGAGCCCTGTAGGGAGATAAACGAGACAGCTCCGGTCGTATCGTTCAGCTTCATCACAAAGATGTCACCGTCCCCCAGGTTGGTTTGGCCATACGTGCTGAAGTCACCCCCCGTCCAACCACACACGTAAATTTGGGCAGCATTGTCCGTGGTCATTGCGTACCTGCACTTTCACGTTCGCACATAAAACCTGAATATCTGCCACAGATCTACCAAGCAACTAGATTCTAGATGCAACGGCCAAGAGATATACCACATGCAAGCAAGATGGATGGTCAAGTGGTGTTTGTCCCTGATTCTGGAGACCAGTCCAAGGGACGGGTAGGTGTGCGACGGGGTGGCCACATCCGCCCTCTGAACCACAGCGCCAGTGGTCATATCCAGCCAGATCACACTGATTTCCACTGCCTATAGGTGAGGTGAACTGGAAGTGAGTTCGAGACGCGGACGAAGCGTTCTAGAAGCCCCACGTAAACATGTGTGACTCAAAGAAATAGGTGTGAATCAAGCAGGATGGGGCCCTGTCTTTGTTGTGTTGCAATTAAAAAAAACACACGCACCTACAACACACGAAAACGCCGGACCAAGATAAACCCTGTGAAGAAATAGTTCGTATCTGCCAGTTCCTGCCGGTTCCCGGTTCTGGGCGAGGGGCATCAAAAGGACGGAGACGCCTCAAAGCCCTCAAAGCGGCGTTTTGGTGCTGAAAAACGGTTGACGCTGGTGAACCCTTGGGTCTGTTCTCATCAGATTCCTCTATTGACTCGGGATGACAACCTTCCGGGATGTCAACGTTTCGACGGCATCGCGAGAGGAGATGTATACTGCATTTCTTCGATTTTGTTCGACGGATTTTTGCAAAACCATACAACGACGCACATCGAGGACGTCAAGAACTTAGCAGTATGAGATGTGTAAGAGAGAGAGAGAGAGAACAGAACGTGAGGCCTGACGGGAGCAAGGAAGAAGAGGACAAGGATTTGCTAGGACATTGATTTGTTAAAGGATTTTTGTAGACTCTTGATTAACAAACCTCATACACGAAGAGAGTGTTTCAATCCAAATTTGGGGTTTCTCGCGCTACCATGAATCCGGGGTATCGAGACGCCCACAGATCCCGAATCCGCAAGAAACATTTGAGTACCTTAAGAACCTGGTCCTCACAATGCCGCATGATCCACCGTTTCACAATGAAGTGGAGCCACCGCCGATTCCCACCGATCTGCCGTGTCAACCCTGGCCCTAACAAGTTCACGCAACATATTCGCTACATCATGTTCAGGAAGAAGAATTTTGATGAGGTAGCGCATCCTGGCCCGAATTAGGTAGTCAAGTCCAATCTGACAAACCTCGCATGAAAATGAAGTGCAACTTGCAATCTTAATTAGGTGTTTGATCAACCGGATCGGTCTTGGACTTCACATTTCCTCTGTCGCTCTGTTCCCTGCTTCGTTCGTAGTTGCCTGGTTCCCTGTCTAGTTAAGTGTTTTTTTTTTCGCTCTGTCTGCTAGGTCCGGTTTCACACAACTATCCCACCAGTACCCGCCATACAACATGGCAAGGGACCGCGTGGGAGCGTGCGACGACAGCTCGCGAGTTCGTGCATCCAAATTTGGGGGGTTTATTAATCAAGAGTCTTCAGAGAGAACGCAACGAAATATCATACTTTGGAGGCAAAGTTGATGGCTGGGCCGCGGCAGAACTATGAACAGACACCCCTGGCTCACAGTCCTGTTTGGGCTCCAGGAGGTTAGCTTCTCAGGTTTGGTATGACTGGACCTTCCTGTCACTCACCTCAAACAGCTTCTTAGAAGGTACGACTGGAGCCCTAGGGAGTATATAAGCTGTTCACCCTGAAGAGTCGTTTTCATGTTGGATGACTTGTCATCCGCAAGCAACGCGTGCACAGGGTCCATGCACACACACACATACACACACGCACGGTTCGACGGTCGCCGGAGAAGAGACCTACCACACAGAACATGGACAGTCCGGGTCTCATGAGTCTAAGTGTTTACCAGAATGTTCCACACATATCCGGATTATAGCATTTGGAGTGTAACCTACTATGTTCCACACATGCTCCTGACTCTAAGTGTTTGCCTGTATTTGTTTGATTTTTGTTGGCATTTGGCTTCCACTTCCCAGACACGACCTGTCTGGGACGGACTGCCGCCCCAGAGGTCGACCCCGGCCACCCCTGGCCGTTTCGCAGTCCGTCCTGGTAGCCCAGCAGGTCGTGTCGACGGGAACGTCACTCTTTACTGTTCCAAAGAGGAATTCTAGAAAAACACACACACTCTTCTACAACTTCATCACACATAAATCTCGGCTAATTAGCCAAGCTCTCTTTCCTAGTCAGGAACATCAGATATGATGTTTAACCACAGGTCACAAGTTCGTGGCATATTGTTGAGGTCCAATAAACCTTCCTTTGCCTCAAAACCGTCGATGGACATGGTACGCCAAGACACGGCGTAAGTCGCCAGCAGGACATGGTTGGCACCGCCATCTTCAGTCACTCTCAGGGCATTTCCTGTGTCATCACCTGTTGCCCCAGCCTGATATGTCCTGGAACCCGGCGTGCCGGTTGGATGTATCCTGGAACACCAACTTCCTCGCTTAGAGTAAGAGAAAATGATGCACTGAAAAGGTCCATCGGGCTGGGGTCCAGGAAAGTGTCGCCCGAACTGACACCATGCTTTTTCAGAAGAATACAATTAAAATCACACAATATTACAGTAAATGTCCTCTCAAGTCAAGCGTACACATCCTCAAGAGTTCTTTGTTGGTCCGATTCTTGCTTGTGGAGTCTGGTTCCGCCTCTTTTCTGCACGAAAGGGCCCCATGCTCACTAATAGGATTCTCTCCACCTCCTCTATATGGATGGGTCATGAATGATTCATGATCGGTGCAAAAAACATCAATGACTGTCTGGCACTCGATGCGGTTCGGAAATGCAGAAGTTGACACACCACAGTCCACAGCAACTTCTGGACCACTCGTTCAGCCAGTCCCCAAGGGCGCACCCTTTCGCCGTGACGCGCGCGTCCGCGCGGAAGCAGCACTCGCTGCGTCGCTACGCACCGAAGGCGGAGTGCCGAGCGTCCAAAGCAGGTTCCCGTCAGAAGAGAACTTCATGACCCAGGCGTCCATGGTGGTGTCAATCTCATCCCAAGTGCCATTTTCCTCGGGCGGATAGGCCGGCCAACAAATCAACATACGAGCGAAACATGTCCAGAAGGGGGATGTGTGATGATTGGGTCAAAACACTTACCTTATTTTTCGCACCTGTCTGATTTGGATTGTGTCAGAAGGCTGACGAAGCAAAGGTTGATGGTACATAATCATATGTTACGTATTATGTAATTAATCATCTTTATAACCATATCCAGCATCAGCCTGAATCTATGCGCGTCACTGGGTGCCGCATGCCTAGCATGCACATGCTGCTTAGCATGTGAAATCAATGTTACAAAATGTTGCACACGGGTCAATTTCCATTTTCTCTTCACCTGTCAATCTTCTGGATCGCACTGAGCCTCGATCTCACAATCACACCCGCGCAAAGAGGAATTGAGTAGAACCCAAGGTTGATTGATTTTAGACACAACCATCAATTTCAATCCCTACTGCCCCGTAATAAAAGTCGGGAGCGATCCTATTTCTGTGAGCAGGTGCTCCCATCTCTACGTGCCTACCCTCCCTACAGTAAACAACAAAGAAAATCAAACAAAGTTGATTAGAGACACACAGAACCAAATCTGAACCAACCCGTTTCGCCAGAACAAAACTCTCTCTTCCACTCCTCCGGAATCGGAACTGTCTGGACAACGTCCGAACCGAACGGAACCGAACGGAACCGAACGTCCGAACGCGCATCCAGGCTTCTGCCATCTGACCACGGCTTGCGCCTGCGATAAAGATCTCCCCCTGCGAGTTGCTGACCACTGCCCGACTGTAGTCGTAGAGCTCGGTACCCACTGTGGTGCTCCAGCTCACTGTCTGGGCCTCACCCGCTGTCTGGGCCAGTTGCGGCCCCGTGGTTCTGGCGTTCGAAACGTCGAGACTGGCTGGCTGAAGCAGGATGTTGGCTGGAGGTTGTGGCCCGCTCAGAGTTGTGAACCTGGATCCACTGGCACCCTCTGAGAGGGTGAGGACGGAGACACTTAGTTCAATTGACAAAGGCTTGGAGGCTTCAAGTACCTTCTGCAGTTCGATCCAGAAGCTCGGGTCCACCCCACCCGCCCTCCACCGGAGGCCTTTGAAGAGATACAAAGGCTCCAAACAAGCACTGCATAGCAACTCTGCCATACCATGGCGGAGGAAAAGAACGATTGGAGATTCAAGTCATGTCAGAGATGAACACAGCAAACATGCATGGTCTGAATTACGTTACCTACATTTATTGTGATCCTTGGGATGTCTTGGCTGCATTGGGAGATGCGTTCGGCGTCTCTTAGGAAGCGAAATCGTCCATACAACTCCACAGAGCTTCGTCACTTCGGGACTATCCATCGCCCATCCATATGCAGCTTGTCTCACATGATGCTGCAATGCGTGCGATCGCGACGTGTGTTGCAGCAAGGAATTTGGAACAACTCCTTCCATACTGATCAATTCCAACGAGACGTCCAAAATGACTCAAAAACATTGTTACAGATCGGGGAGGTCTTACCAGGACGCACGAGCTTCTCGAGAACACAGCAAGTGGCCCATGTTCGGGACAGCAACAACATGCAAGGCAACCAAGCTTTCATAGAACTATATTATCGCTTATTATCTTTCCTGGCTGGCATAGACCTCGCAAGTGGAGATGCCTTCTCCGACATGGTGCAGACAAAGCCCGCTGTTCTCCGTCCACTTTGTTTCCCTTTATCTATGTCCACCTCCTTCCCAAAGTTCGACCTCTCAAACACCTGTTTAAATCTCCACCAGCCGCCCTGAGCCGCCCTTCTCACCTCCAGAATCGAGCCATTCAACTCCTGGCCCGTGAGTCGCCGGTTGTGGCTGGCTACATCTTCCCACCAAGTCATGGCTGAGTCGCTGTAGAACACATCAAAGGCTGAAAGGCTTCGACATCGGAGACGGCTCCAATGGCCCCAGGTGTTCAGAGTCACTATAGGAAGATGCATACTCATGTCATATCGTACAGACTCATACTCATGTACTCGAGTTTCGGACACAAGTCCATGCCTCGCCAAGCCCGAACAATCCACGGATGTTTTCCCGAAATCGATGCTCTGCCCTAGGATGCCCTAGGGCTCCTGGCCCACCTCCTGAGAAAATGGTTGGGGTGGGTTTGGGGGGGTCTAACCACCTTCTGATTCAATGTTGATCCCTTTCTCTCCCCAACCCTGACTGCCAACCGTGCAGTTTTGCTCCACTCTTTGGCATCAAGTGGCTGGAAGACACTGTCAACGGCAAGTTCAAACTCTTGCCATCTGAGGTCAACCACGCGCAAGCCAAGCCGACGAGCTTGGCTGGGGTTTTCTGTTGTGGGCACCAACCACGCGCTTCAAATCGCTTCAAAAGGTCTTGTGGAGAGCGTTGTGTAGTCCGTACATTCCGTACGCTTTGACTGACTTTGAGTCGCTGTTCTTGCGCAATCGCCCTCCTAGGGTTCCTTACAAGGGGGACCCAAGTGGCGCGAAGCACGCTGGCGATAGCCGCAGATCACTCAAACCAGCAAGCTGGGAGTAGAACTTGTCTCGTACACCCAGGGCATATACCTTGCCAGTTGGTCCCAAAGATCGCACTTCTCATCTCTAGGGAAGAGGTCATTGGGATAGCGATTCTTGGACTCGATACCATGCACTTCGGGTTGAGTCTTCCTTAGATGTCGACGCGTGGTCCCACCATGCCCGGATGAAGAGAACCCCCCCCCCGCGGCGGATTCCACCACCAACCGTCGCGGTGTCGGAACACGAGGAGTTCACGACATCGGTTGAGACTCCGAGAAACGGGTCCGCAAAGGCAGGTCTAGCCCCCTAATAGCGCCTAGCGTAGCGCCGCTTGGGGGGGTAGGTTTTGGTGAAGGTAACCCCGATCATGGGACGAGAATGTATGCACTGAAAACTCCAAGTTCCACCAAAGGACCCGGAGAACAGAAGGACTGCAAGAACTTCTCTCTCCAAGATGTTCCAACCACACGAAGAAAAGAAAAACTAAATCCCGAGTACCTACTAAAAAACGGACCCCTACTAAAAACAAATCATGTCGGATCCCCTAAATACGGCTTATATTTGTTTTTAAATTGCTGCCCTTTCAAGCCGCTACTAAACTACCAACATGGCCGATTTTGGAGGTGTTTTTCTTATTAGGTTCCAAAAAACAACCGTAACTTTCCACCTCTGTCCGCCCTGTCTATCCACCATGACACGCCGCGCTTACACCAGCAGGTTTTCCTTCCCCCAATGGCACGGACTCACGCAAACGCACTTGCCACCGAGGTCATGCAACACCGCATGGCACAGCGACATCACCTTTCGAAAGATTAGCTGTCTACTGAAGAACCACTATTCAAATGAAGGTCTTTGTAGGGGAAAAGGAAGAGACCCTTCGATCTGGAGGTTTTTTTGGCATTTTTGATACGAGTTTAATAAAGGATTCTATATAAAATTGTCCTGGAGTACTTTTTGTTTTTGAAACTCTTTCCGGGTGACCCTATTTTGGACCACCACGATTTCAGGGTCCCCCTTTAAAAAACAATGCGACCGAGGTTTCCTTATTGGGGGGGGGAGGCGTGTTTTTTCATGTGGACTGGATTATTGCATGAACATGTTCATTCGTGATGCAAAAAGGGCCAATTTAGAAACGTTGTTCATATAATACAACAACAAGGCCAAGGCCTCAAGCAGCGGACTGCCGTGTGGAGATCTGTTTGAGTCTTTGAGATTTGGATAAATCACACTTTCTTGAGCACAATTCCGTGACCATCCACAGACCTGCCTACGAAAGACCTGCCTACGACTCTGGGCGCCGTATAGACCAGTAGAACGACACCGCCCGTGTAGAACGACGCCCGAGCCGATCGCGTAGCACGGCGTTCGCCGAACGAAGAGAAAAACGATGCGGGGGGGGGGTTTTCGCGGAGCCGAAGAATGCGACGGAGCAAGCACGAAGAACGACCAAGCTAAGACGCGACCTGTCTGGGACTGCCATAGGAGTGCCGCCCCATTGACCCCCAGTCAACCACCCCAACTGATCGGTATATATGCCATAAGTGTACTACCTGGAGTGTCTGGGAACCTGGGCCCGACACTTCAAGTACTCGCGACATGACCCTACAAGAACCGGTATATGTATATACTATGTTCTGAGGTACTCGGAGGTGTCCGGGTATATAACTGGATCATCCTTGTAACAATCCAAGGGTGTTCTGGTTGGACTACCCCCAGGATCTCCAGACAGGAGGGTCCAGGTACATAAAGGTGTTCTTTCACCTCCAAACCGAGTGTAGGTGATCTTTCTTCTAGTATGTTGGAGACCGCTAGTACAAGTTGGTTGGAGGCCATCGCTAGTGGGTTGGAGGCCATTTCTTCCAGGTTGAAAGAAGATAAGTATATCCTGTAGCTTCATTTGAGCAGAAAACAGTGCTCGCTTTATTTTTGCACGACCTTAGGTTTTCTGCTCGAATTCAAGTCTACCAAAGAAAAGCGCTCGAAGCGATAACACCACCTTGCCTGTCCCACCCCCACAGCACGGCATCACTCATTTTTTTCATTGCACGCTCTTTTTCAACCAGTTCTTCTTCACCCAGAGGCGTCTATAGTGACTTAAGCACCAAGAGGTTGCTCTCACAGCAATCCCGAAGCAATGACATCTACGTGTAACTCTGCATACCTTGCGTCAGATAATTCAACAGTGCATGCGTGACATTCATGAGCCCATGAGCTTTGATGCAACACACTGTGACATGCATGTGTTCATGAGATTGCGTGCAACATGTCATGCAACCGAGAGTCTCCGCCTATGAAATCTTCATCCACCCAGCAGCCAAAGCCTATACACGACAAACATGCACCATGCAAGCCGTGACACGCACATGCCACACGCATGCAAGATTCGGCTAGGATTCAGGATCCACTGTGCATTTGGACGGTCCAGTTGCCTTTGCATCCAGGGCATCGACATCCTTGGACAGTAAGCCAAAGAACACACACAGGACACATCCTTTAGAGGTGGCAGTCGGCGGCGGTACATAGTTGACACAACAAATGTCAAGGCTCATGATCTCCTGCTGCATACGCAGCTTTGGCTTCATTTTGAAAGGTGCCAGTTCAGACGAACAGCACATCCATTGAGCGCCGCAACCCCTTCCTCAAAAGCAAGCAGGTCGAGTAGCACTAGCAAGACAAACTCTTCAACTGCTTGCATGCACCATCTCAAAATGCAAACAAAAGACTGTGACATTTTGGCATGCCCTTACACATTGTACGGCTGCGTCTCTGTGGACCCAGACTTCCTTGACATCAACTGCGCGGAAAAAGTCATCAATGCCATACCATGCAACATTGACAAGAGTGCTGCTTGCTCAGAGACAGGCTTTCCTGCAGAAAGCATGTATGCATGCATGGAGTCAAGGACAACAAAGCCAGACATGTCATGACACCACAAGCCTGGCACAGCGGGAGATGCACATCCCCCCGAAGGAACATCTGACTCAGCCACTTGAGCTTTCAACTTGGCAATCTTGGCGAGCTTTTCCTGCCAACTTCATGGATGTTCACGCATGCACGTGGTATCATGAATATGGCGTGCGTGAACATGGTGTGCATGAGTGACAAAACAATCAAGACCAAGCACCATGCATGCAGCTTAATGTCAACCAGGCACCTGGATGAGGGCATCCATAGGTTCACAAGAGGCTGACGCGTTCATCCGAAGAAGCTTTAGCCCCTCATCCACCGACTCCTTAGACATGGCCTGGGCCGGACAGATCCTGACAGTATGTCGTTCAAAAAGTGTTTGATCAAGCTTGAGCAAAAGAGCTGTCCAACACATGCAAGTCACAAATTTCTACCACCCCACAACAGCCATATCCAAACTATATCAAATCCTGAACCCACTAGCACAAGTCTTTACAAGCCTGTGCAAGCCCAAAATCTTACATCATTCGAGCAGATTTTGAGATTGCGCTCGCTTGTGGAAAATTGCGCTCGGATTGCGGGTTGCATTCTTCCTCCGAGGATCCATTCAGACCAGTTTGTTAGCGTCGGAGATGTGAGGCATGCTGTTCGACTAAATTGTTGTACTCATCCACTAAACTATCGCTGGCCACTACTGCGCTGCGAAAGGCCATGTGGAACTCACTCATGGTAGCCCTCCAACTATCTGGAATCATTTTGCCAGAACTCTGGTATGGTAGAGATAGTTAAAAACAGCAAATACACCATCCTGAGACATGGGGCTCGCCAAGCGAACGACCATACCGACCATACCATATACAGGGTTCCAAACTGGTCGTGGGCAGGTCAGACCTTCCCAGCACACCTGTCTTCGGACCGGCAGAAATAACGTTAGAGTTGGAAAAATCAGAGAGAATCGTCCTTGTTTAGGTTTCCAAACTGAGCCTTTCCCCATGCATGGATTTTGGGCCAATGTTTGGTCATCATATCTCTAAAACTGTTTTTTCCATTGCGGTGTCTTGTCACTGACAAGTGGATCCGGCCAAAATTTCAGCCGCGACATCTGGCCGCCGAGCGTCCTGTTTTGTTCGGACACCATCCCAAACCCCAATAAATCCAAATTGGTGGGCCATGCCAATGCTGAAGTGAGTGGGACCCTTTCCAGTTGAACTCTTGACCCTCACTCTTTTATACAACTAATTGACCAAAACGTGTGGCGTTGCGAATGCCTGGGATTGTCAAATGGGAACTTTCTGGGGTCTTGTGACAAAACTCTCCAGACCCAGGTTGGGGATTACCTTCGACAGCACCATCCTGAGACATGGGCTCACCAGGCCACGATCACACCACGGTTTCCAAACTGGTCTTGGGCAGCTTCCTAGCACACTGGTCTTCGGAGCCTTTCCCCATGCGTGGATTTTGAGCCAATGTTTTGCCATCATATCTCTAAAATGTTTTGCCCTTGTGATGTCGAGTGGATCCGGTTTTGTCTGGACACCGTCCCAAACCCCAATAAATCCAAATTGGTGGGCCATGCCGATGCCGAAGTGAGTGAGACCCTTTCCAGTTGAACTCTTGACCCCCTCACTCTTTTATACAACTAATTGACCAAAACGTGAAGCATTGCGAACGCCTGGGGTTGTCAAATGGGAACTTTCTGGGGTGTTGTGACAAAACTCTCCAGACCCACAGGCGCCAAGGAACGTCAGGTT